TTTACATCTAACGTGAGCTATAAACTTCTAACTTGAAATTTTACTCATTTTGAACATTGTAACTTGAATTTTTCTAACTTGAAATCCTTCTATCTTGAAGTCATTTGTCAAGACCCGACCACTTCAAGATACAAGGGTTATCTGTATATGATATATTATATATTATATTCCTATCTTTATAAGTTATAACAAGCATTTGTTTTTAATATTTATTTCACTATGTTAATAAAATCATATTCTGCATTATTCTAGTAGTATCTGGCTAACAAGATATCGAAGCTATTGACACCATCATCATTTATAGATATAATTCAAACCGGGATTTGTTATCTATTGATTGGAAATGAAGAGTGATTGACAATTTATTTTAAAGTTAAAACAATTTTTATAAAACTCAAACCATAGTAAAAAGAGAAACATTTTTCATTACGATAAATGTTATTTTATTTTATCTTATACTTAACGCACAAATCTTTTAATATAAATATGATAAACGCTAACCTTTCTTGTATTGACAGCAATGATATTTTGTTGATTAGATTTGTTGTGGTATTTAAAAAGCGTTAAATACCATCAACTCATGTAAAGTGAGTTTTAGTTATCAATCGTTTATTGTTTCAATTATTGTTGAATAATTCAATTATCGTTAAGTGCGTTAAACGTATGGGATAACCAAGATTAGTACAAAATGCTACCCCGATCATTTAGGTACTGATAGTATCTTAACCTACTTAAAATAATATTATTGGCATAACCTACTAATCAGTTACTTAAACATAAAATATAATCTGTTACATTTTTGAATGTTAATGTTAGGATATATGGTTTTCACATTCATTTAATATCTGTAATATATGTAGGGCTATTATCGTTTGTAATCAAGCAATTACTCTGGGTGTAATGCATAAAGAATAATGCAAATAATTTGGCATATATTATGCAATACTATAGAAACATTAAATTTTATTGATAATGTGTATTGTGTATTGAAAGGGGCGTTAAATCAATCACTGCTATCAATGGGTAATTAATTACAATCGGTGCCATCCCTGGCCACTGTTATCACTGCCACTTAACGCATAGATACCGGCGCCTGAATAATGTCAGGTGTGCCACTGGTTTGCAATCGCAATAACCTTTCCAATTAACCATAAGCTGTTATATTACTATGATATTATAACACATTTTTACAAACATTTCTACTAATAATACTACTCTGAAATAATTTTTTTATTAAAAATTATATGAATTATAATAATATAGTTTGTCATCTCATTTAAAGCTATATTTTTATAATTAATTTATACTTAATATTAAACAAATAATTGACACAATAAATGGCTGATAAGGAGAGCGAGGATAGAGTGTCCAAACGTGATGAGGAGGAGGAAGACGAGGACGAGTACGCTGGGGTCGGATGCTGTCATCCGGCCCATCAGTTTCACCGATATTTTTTCATGGTTTTCATGTGTTCGCTCGGCATTGGTATGTATTTCACAATTTATGCTTTGAGTTTTGCTTTAATTTTATAAATTATAAATTAAAATCAGTTAACAGGTAATGGTTTAGGAATTAATAGTTCAACATTTGTTTCAATAGAATCGTTTAATTAAAAACTTAAAATATCTTTATATTCCTATATATTAGATGCAGTAATTTATTCATGATTTGATAATAAATAGTGAATTAATTTTAAATAATGTAAATTGCAAATTAAATTGTTTACTACAAAATAAACAAATAATAAATAGGGTGCATTATAAATATATAATGCTAAACTTTATATACTTTTACATGATAATTAAATTTTAAATTGTTTAATTACATGTTTAGTTTGCAAATTATTAATGCCAATAAAGTGGGTGTATTTGATGAGAAAATTGCTTTTACAAAGAGTTACCGCTTATAGTAATTACGAATACATCAGGAATTACTTATCATGTGCCAAATTCTTGACTCTAATATCTGTGCATTTCAATGTTTAGATGTTTTGTTAGAAATGCATTATTGATTAAGATTAAAGTCTATTATATTCATTATCAAAACAGACATGAATAAGTGAAAACTTAAATAAAATTACCAACTCATTGATTATTCTTGATAATGATTTTAGTGTATTGTATAACAATGTTGTATAACATAGTCACTAAAATTAATATTTGTCTATAAAATCTACCAATACATCAAAGATAAAAAGATATTTAAATATAATGTTATAAATATGCTTAAAAGAAATGTCATTTAACTTTTGTCAAACTGTTGCACATTAATGGGTATAATTGAAAGATTTTATTATACATTTAATTACAAGTTTACGAGTGTACTAAACGTTTAGGTGAATAGCATTTCAATACAATAAATATTTATAACAATTATAAGATAAATAAATTCTTATAAATATTTGTATATTAATAATAATAATCAATATTTATTTCAACAAACAAACAAAAAACAAATGATTAATATAAACGAATAAATAATTTATACTAAACAATAATAATTATCCAGGTAATTATTTCTGTTACGATGCACCTGGTTCTCTGCAAGAACAAACAATCGCTGATATGGACATTAATACCACACAATTTGGATTACTATATTCACTATACAATTGGCCAAATGTAGTGCTCAGTCTGTTCGGTGGGTTTTTGGTGGACCGCCTCCTGGGTATCAAATTGGGTGCCATAATATTCGCGTGCTTTACATTCACGGGTCAATTCCTGGTGGGTTTGGGGGCGTATCTCAACCTGTTTTGGCTCATGTGTTTGGGACGGTTTGTGTTCGCCATCGGCGGCGAGAATCTGGCCGTCACTGCAAACATGCGGGCCGTCAAGTGGTTTA